GGTGTGTTTTCCCCTCCCAGAATTGATCACCTTTGCTTATTTAGATTCTTGGTTTGCTGTTTTAGGTGATGTATCAGGTAGAAGGGTTTGTTGATAAGAATAATGACCTGCTTTACCGTGATCTGTCCCAAGCTATGTGGAAGGCCAACCACTCCCTCATTAAAGCACTATTTCCAGAAGGAAACCCTGTCAAGATTAATTTGAAGAGGCCACCAACAGCAGGTTCCCAGTTCAAAGTTTCTGTGGCAACATTGATGAGGAACTTGCAAACAAAAAATCCCAATTACATCAGGTAAAGTTCAGGAAATGAAGAAATTGCATTTACAACAATGGTAATCTTTAATTCATACTATAAATGAGAGCATGAAAGAGAGTGAATTATTTATATCAGTTGAATACAATTTATTTGGGGAAAAAAGTATTTTTTTAAATTTTAAAGTTTCAAATTACTGAAAGACTTGGTGTGAATATTCATAGTATCTCAACTGAATGGATATGATCTAAATATGCAGTTTATTTTATCTGATCTTTTTTTCCTCAAAGATGAAGGGGAAAACTCACCATAGATTAATGGTTCTAATTGCTCTATACTTACAAAATTACTGCAACCATGACTGATAGTTTTCTATAATCAGATATTTTGTTGTTGTGCTGTAATTGTGCTGAAGTTTTTACTTTCTGGCCATCTATAGCATCAGTATCTTTTATTATGGAACTATTTCCACAATAGTCCTAATTCAGCTAATAAAACAATAGTACTTATCCATCTAAAAATCTGACATTTATTAACACTGACCTGAACTAAATAGAACAACCATGGATACTTTTGAATATTGAACATATCTGTTACATAATATATCAGATTGGGTCTCCCATCACATTGAACCAAGCTTTCCTAATTGTGATTTGTTGAATAACCCAAAATTTGCTAAGTTCATACATCACATTTAACCAGAAATCAGGCTGGGCCAACCAAGGGCTATATGTGTGTCTTCAAAAACACTTACATTATAGTTTCCTGAATGTCTCAGGACTGCAGCTGAAATTCAAGAGCAATTTGCCAAAAAAATTAAGTGCAACTGGTTTTTTTTAAAGTTAGCCCTGTCCAAACTGGAGTGTCATGTCATTAACATGTCTCTAAGGCTGCTGAAAACTATGTTATCACAGAAGTGTATCCTTGCCAAAGAAAAATTGCCTGCGTGAGACATAAAACCTTTTGTGTAGTATTGCTGCTGAGTCTTAAGTGTGGTATATATAAAAATAAAAAAATATTTACACCATGGAAGTACATACATACTCATCATGAATGTTGAAGATTTGCCTATTAGGAGTTCATGTTTGGTTAAACTCAATTAACATTCTGTAACTGCCTATGTGCTCTGAATGTGAGTGTCCATAGACTTCAATTTCTTCAGATTAAGCAATTTTATTAGGAGTTTATAACATCATCTTGTTAAAAGAAGTTATAGTTCCTTGGAAAAAAACGGAAACCAACAACTAAATACCACTGTTCTTTCAAAAACATGGAACATTGTAATCTTGGAAAAATGTACTGAACTTAAAATGGTGAATCTGCTCAGTAAAAAAAAAAAGCTTCCTCAGCCACTATAGTCTTTCCCTGGATATGAAAAATCAGAATATTATAAATTTAGGAAATTATACTTATGGAATACATTTTAGAGAGAATCTACAGTATATGTCAGGTTTTTTCTTTCTTTCAGGCCTCTCTGGCTCCTTAGGGGGTTAGACTTTCCAGGTGACAAAGAGGAAGTAGAATGCATACATTTTTCATTGCCCCCTGCATCAAGAGACAAACTCTATTAAGCTTCTAAAGCTAAAATAGAAGAATAAACCGTAAATAGTGTTTCTTTAGTTGTAAAACCAGACAGCTGGATCTAACAGCTTTAGATAACTTTTATCCAAGTCTCCCATCTTTCCATTTCTGGGGAAGGTTGTTGCGAGATGGTTGGTACTTAGTTGCAGAGAGCCCTGGATGAAACAGATCATCTAAACACTTTTTGATCAGTATTCAGGCTGGGGTACAGTTTCCAAGATGGCATTGGTTACACTTGTAGATGAACTCTGGAGAACACATGAGGGCTGAGTTCCTGTCCCTCCTTGGTCTCTTAGCAGCTTTTGATACCATCTGCCATGGTCAGGTTCAGGAGCTGGGAGTGGAAGGCACTGTTTTATGGTGGTTTTCCTCCTTTTTCTGTAATTAGTTTCAGTTGGGATGGGAAATGTCAGGCCCCTACAGTGTGAGATCCCTCAAGGTTCAGGTCTCTGTCCTCTCCTCTTTAACATTTACATAAAACTGCTGGGTTAGATCATTTGTCAATATGTGGTACAATATCATCAATATGATGAAGTTACCTAGTTATACACATCTTTACTCCAGTCAGGCAACTGATACAATCACAACGTCGACTGTGTGCTTGGAGGCTATAGAATCTGGATGGTGGGAAACCAAATTCAACTCAATATTTTGAATGAATTAAGAAATAAAATAAATAAAAATGTCTAAAAAAATTGATGAGAGTAATAGATTTCTGTTCTATGTACTGCACTTTTTTTAAAACAAATTCTTTGATTTGTAGATGTATTAAACCTAATGACCAAAAAGCAGCACATATCTTTAGCGATGCTCTTGTGTGCCATCAAGTTCGATATTTGGGACTGCTGGAAAATGTCCGAGTTAGAAGGGCAGGATATGCATTCCGTCAAACTTATGAGCCTTGCCTTGAAAGATACAAAATGCTTTGCAAGCAGACATGGCCACAATGGAGAGGCCCTGCGAGGTAAGAATTACTAGAAATATATGCATCCTTGGTATAGACATAACATTGATTGCTTGGCTCTGGTTAAACAGTTCAGATTGAGCTGCAGCACTGCATATTCCTTCTGGTGTTCAGAAAATATCTGAAACTGATTTGAGTACTGCTGGCTTAATGATATAGAAAACCATTCAATCAAGGTGATGTTTAGCAGACAGTAAATCTGTGTAAGCAAAGAAAGCAAAATAACACATTTCAAGCTATAATCCACAACCGTAGTTGAGGATCTTGCAGCATTTTCCTTCTCCATTGACTTAGTGAAAACAAAGGAGTGCCTCTGTGTTACTCATTATTGATAGCAATAGCAATAGACTGATATACCGCTTCACAGTGGTTTACAGCTCTCTCTAAGTGGTTTACAGAGTCAGCATATTGCTCCCAACAATTCGGATCCTCATTTTACCCACCTCGGAATGATGGAAGGCTGAGTCAACCTTGAGCCTGGTCAGATTTGAACTGCCAAATTGCAGGCAGCCGGCAGTCAGCAGAAGTAGTCTGCAGTACTGCACTCTAACCACTGCACCACATGTCTCATGCATGTTTCTTCCCTATCATAGATTGCCAAATTCATCTGGAGTAAAGGCTATGACATCACTGTTTCAGGGGACAGCTTTGCATATTGCATGCAAGTTCCTAATACAAGTTGAAGGGTTATGCAAAATTGAACTTAGCTTCTCATTTTTTTGAGGCAATCTATTTGCATTTGCAAACCTAGCAGTTCAAAAGCATACAAAAGCGAGTAGATAAATAGGTACCACTTCAGTGGGAAGGTAACAGTGTTATGTGCATCTTGATGTATAGTCATGCTGGTCAAAGGAACAGATAAATATTTTCGGACAACATTTCTTGGCTAAGAAAGAGAGATGAACTCCACCCTATAGAGCCGGACATGACAGGACAGTGGAAACATTTACCTTTATTTGCATATGGGTGTAGAAAGTATGGCAAGAAGGACATCTAAAAATGCTCTAGCACAATTATTTTTTCATTTTTATATTATGTTTTCTATTATTTGGGGAGGGTTTTCCTCACCTTTACTAATGTTTTGTGTAATTTTAAGTATCCTTCCAGTGTTACTTTATACCTATGCTCAACAGTACTTTATACCTATATTAGCTTGCTCTAAAATATATATTTCAATAGAATATAAACAAACACAAGTGGTAGCACCTAGCCTACCTTTGTTAATCACAAAGTTGGGTCTGGTTAGTGCTTGGGTAAGAGACTAACTGGGAAATAAAAAAAAATCCTGGACTGCCAAGAAAACCATATGTCTAAAAAAATCTAAGTCTCAATCATTATCACCATAATGTCTATTCAGTGGTTCCCATTTTCATAGTTAGACAGTTTTTTTAAAAACCTAACATATAAACATTCTTGGCTAATTTTTAAAAAGTGTTTATATTGTAAAGCTATCTTTTCATAAAGTGCTGGATAATATGCAAGCTTAGCATATGAGAGACTATTTTTTGACGAAGATGTTGCATTTTGTTTGTTTGCCTTTTAGAATTGGGGTTGAGGTCCTTTTTAATGAGCTGGAAGTCCCTGAAGAAGAGTACTCCTTGGGTAGATCAAAAATATTCATCCGCAATCCAAGAACCGTACGTGAAGCAAAATTTCTCAATTTAGACGAATTATTTGAATAAAGGTTGCCCTCTTTTTTATTTCATTTCGGAGGCTAGAGTTTTAATTTGATTTAAGCAATGAAAGGGAAATTAGTTTGGGGTAAAAACAAGATGGTGGTTAATGGAGCAGTATTATTTTTATCGTTGTAGCATAAAAATATACAGTTTCATGTTCCTCAAAACTTGATTTGCTAGGACTTGAACTTCAGGCCAGCATAAAGAGACAGATATTGCTTATATCTGTCTCTGTCTCCCTCACCGAGAGAGAGAGAGAGAGAGAGAGAGAGAGAGAGAGAGAGAGAGAGAG